CAGTCTACCAAGGGGAAGCATCAAGGATGGAGAGATAGAACAAGGTCTTTTTAGATATTCCTTTCCAGATTCTAGCCTTTCTTTCTGTCCTGTGAAACTTTTATAGCAGAATATTTAGGTTATGGAGAGCATCAGAAGGAGAGCTGGCACATGAGTTAGACCTCTACATGTCTGAGAGCAAAACACTGACAAAGACAGACTGAAAGATTTGAAGATATGTCAGTGTCTAAGATAGCACTCGTAACGTTTTCACGCCATCTATAAACATTTACTTAAATCTCAGCATCAGCTGTTTTGCTGCCAAAAATAAAACTTTCATAATGTCTCTCTCCATCAGCATCATACATTTTACAGTTTCTCCATCTCCAGTCTCTCTCCCTTGCCCAGGCTCGTCGCCTTGCAATTCATTTCTCAGTAGACATCAAGAGACCTTCACATTGCCACTCCCACCCAGGGGGAATGTGCATTGCAGCTTTAGTAATTATCCTGCTGGATTGGTAGTGCTTAGGCCAAAGGGGCAAACCTTAGAGTGCAGCAAGCCTTGCTGTCACTGTCACCATCGCACACGCTAAAAGAAAGTGCAACCCAAATTTAAATAGGTCAGAGACTAAAAAGGGCAGAGTGAGAAAGAGGTGAAGATATAAAAATGTGGTGTTCTGTTTTTAATGGAGAGAGGAAACTTTTTTTTTCTTCTCGCTTTACTCACACTGCTAACTCTTTTCTGAATCAAGACAAAAGGAAGATTAAGGAGTCTTGGATGTCTTAGAAAGGAGCTGCCAAAACAGCTTCATACCCAAACAGCTTCATGGATGGAAGATCTCTCCATTAAAGCATATGCATTCATTTGGTGTTTGATGATGGTGCTGGAGGGTGCTGACATACTAAAAATAACCCATAGGTGTTTAGCCAGGCTGAGATCTAGGTCCTTTTTCTTCAGTGCAATGTTTTAAAGATCCAAAATTCACCAAAGTAAAAGAATGGGTGACCTCATTCAGACAGTCACTAGCAGCATGGACCTTCATTTCAGGTAAAACAGGCTCTCCTGGACATTCCTGCTGTATGCATCATACCACCAGCTGTCTAAAAGTAATTACTCAGGATACGCCAAAGGATCACAACAGTCACATAATAATGTCTAGTCATTTTCTTTATATCACCAGTGCTTCAGTCACAGTGGCTCCTCCGGGAAGAGCAGCAAGAGTGACAGTCGTGACCGAATGTGATGCTTCTGTCAGGTACTTGCACAACTTGCTGTATTTGGTTTGAACAACACTAGTCTGTCAGAACCCGCCCACTCTGCAAGTATATAGTGAAAGTAGGTGTAAAAACAGATGTAGCTGAAATGATAACAGCTTTTTTCCTTAGGTATGAGATACTTCAGCATGACAAAGGTTGGACGATAAAGTCATTGCCTGTGCTGTCTCTATCTCTTAGGTAATGCTGTAAGCTGGCAACGTTATTGGACTGACCATAGTTTAAACATAGACTGTACTTAAAAGATGGACAGGCCCACTGGGATGTCACTATTTCATTTCTTGAAGCCAACAGACATTGCATATTCATATTGCCCAAATATTTTATTCTATCTTGTTTTTCTTTACAAAGTTAACACCAGGCTGTATTTAGTAAGACTCAAAATTAGCAATCGAGATCATAATGTCAAAAGACTTTACTGAGGTTACAGGTGAACAAAGCCAAGGGCCTCTGAGCACACTTAAAAATACTGTTTTTAAAAGAAATAATCACGCATGTACAACCCCTACAGCTAACTCTTGAACACAAATAAAACATATAAAATATATGTAGAGTAGGGCTGTTCGATATAACGATATATATCGGATGACGATATAAAAACGTCTATCTTTTCATTTTATGCTATCGTTTGTTTCGTGGTGTCGCAAAATAAACTGTTTGCGGCAATATTTTTTCATCGTCACTGTAGTGGCTATATTAATTTCTTAAAGTTCTCTCTTTCTCTTATATTTTATATAACCACACTACCGACGGACAAGCGCCTGTTTTTATGCGTTGTTAGCAACAACGACAGTAAAACCATCAAGTGTCCACTTGTTTATTTTCCACATAAACCTTTCACAATAAAGCTCAAGATCCTGTTGAGACTTTTCAAAATAAACCGAATCACGTGAAAGATGCAGAGAGTTTACGGATCAGAAGCAAAAAAAAAAGAGCCGTCGGGTGCTAAAAAATAAACCTTAGACTCCAACGTTAGAACAGCACGCTGTGTAGTAAATACTCACAAAGAAAACGGCAGCTGTTACAACTTATGTCTAAAAATGTATCTCGACTCCAGGTACACGACGCCCAGCTGGAAACACTTCACGCAAGTCGAGCTGCTCGAGATTCACAGAATTTACAGAAAATATAAATTTTTTGTGATTTATATCGTTATCGGGACGATAGATGTCTTATATCGGGATATGAGATTTTGGTCATATCGCACAGCCCTAATGTAGAGAAGTAACTGTTTGGTAGACTCACCTGATAGCCAGGAGGGTTGCAAAATCTGACAAAGTGGATTTGGTTGCAGGGGTGAAAGCAGCACTGTTTTAAGGTTATCATCTTCTGATTTGATCCTGGATGGAAAACTGTTGCTTTCTTGTTGATTTTTGGAGTAGCACCATATTCAGCTTTAAAAGCAAAATAAATGAAGGACAACTAGTTAAGATTGAGAACGCTGGAAGCTTCTATACTGAACCTACTTTCTTAATTAAAAAACAAACAAACAGTTTTTACATTAGTGAATCCCAGGGAAATTCTAATATTTTTTAGGATACATACATTTCAAATACAATATGTCCCATGTATAGATACCCTTTGGGGGTCTTACTTTGATAGTACAAAAGTAGCATCAATAATATTCATTTTTATCACTCAAACACTATTTACAGACTTTTAGCTAAAGCATAAAAACTGTTGATTTTTCAGCTCCACTGCCTTGCAAAGTTTCTGCAGTGGTTACATCACTCTGTCGTTTAAACATCTTGTTAATGCATCTTCTGCTGCAACGCATCCAAACAGGCGTGCCAAAAATTTGAAGTTATACAGAAAACAACTGCGTGTGCTCCTCCGCATTTAAACTATAAGTACAAACACACAGAATCACAGAAGCAGCTTCTCTGGAGAGGAAGCTGGCTGAAACATTCAATTTAGTTGCTGATATACCCAGATTTTCTTTTTCTTTTCAGGGAAATTTAGAAACATAATTTCATTGACCAAATGTGCAGATACATGCCTAATCTAAATCATAATTTCATCAAGACAAGTTTGATAATTAATCACATTTAAAAGCGAAGTTTTAACATATTCCAGTCATACATACGAATTTGATCCTCTTAAAACCACATCTGACTTGCAGAATTTGATCTGAGGCAGAAAACAGATGGATTAATGAAATTTCTCTTCAATATCTGCTTTGGAACCAGAAAGACACGTGCGTGTTGTTAAAACGCCGCTTTATTATTTATATCGATATCAGACCACCTCAGTGCCAGAGACCTGCCAGCGTTCAGCGTCGAGCTTGATAAAAGGCAATTTTTAATTGATGTCACAAACAGTAACAATGGTGCAAGATGGAGCAGCAGCCATTTCCACTTCAGCCTCATTTGCATCCAGTAATTATGCCAAAATATCACAATTAATTTGACAATGATATATGGATGTATGAAAACTCTGAACGCTTGATCTTTGAGGTGCAGCAGAGTAAAGGACAAAATGGCATTCTGTAGCACTGCAAAATAAGGGATCGGGAATGATCGTGACGAATTCTTCATGTGGGCCCACAGTGAAACGTAATATCCGATGCCCTCTGAATGTGTCATCCAACACATATATACGCACGCACACAAGCACACATTACCTGCCGATGCCAACATATAAGTTTACCTTTGGCTTTGTTAATGGTAACTATCTGCTGAAAGGTACAAGGTCTGGCTTTCTCCTGAGGGGCAGCTGCTTGCTTCATGCCTGCCTTGGCAGCATTAGCCCAGGACCTGGCACTGACACCCACGCCATCTGCACCTGCAACTGCAATATGAACAGCAAGGGAACGCGGATTACTGCTATGGGCATTTTGCATGCACTGTGTCCTGTCTGGCCTGTGCCATAGGTAAGCCTAAAAAGAACTGTGTTCTTCTCAGCTGCAAAAAAAACCTCACAAATTTTCTGCAGTCTCCCCCTCTGGGGATCGACAAAGTGCTATTGAATCAACAGGGCCGTGCTATCAGAGAGTATATTCTATCATATCAGCGCCGGCTGCGAACTGCTGGAGGAGGGCTAGCAGTGTGTATATCACATATGCACATTTACTGAGCAAAGCAGAGCCGCCTTCAGTTACACCTGTGCACCTGTTAAAAAGGCGAGGGGAAATCAAACAAGACCAGATATATTTATATATACTGTTCCACACGATATATAAATATAGCTGAAACAGAAAAGGAACGACTTCTCCAGCGCAAAGTTCATGGAGGTACTGTATCCACTGTACAAGGCATACTCTCTACTTAAAATGAACATGTACTTATGCATGTGTGCTTATATCTGTGCTCTGTTCTGCACCAACAGGAAGGCTCACCGTGTAATTCACTTTGCCACTGCAAAATAATCCCCTCATTAAAAGAACATTTTCCCACTGAGTCATCCAAGTGAGCAAGTACTTCTCAGCAACAGCAATGCAGAATCACAGTGTGTTAACACCTACACAGAGACGTGTTTGCAATGTTTGCAAGCGCGGATGTGTCTGTGAGTTTGTGTGCACATCTGGGTGTTTGTTGAGGATTAAAGGTGGCAAAGCGCTGCCCTGTGATTGGTAAAGTTTCTTTGATGTTTCGTCTGGCTATTTTTCTATCAGTAAGTAGAACTCAAGGACAGAAAACAAAGTAGTAAAGCCACCTGCTTCGTGGCAGAAACAAAAGTGCTCCGTTAAATGGGCTTCAAAAATAACCGAGGAGAAAAAAAAAATGTAGCAGTCTGAGAGCTGGACTCTTGTATCTTCTAGAGTTTCTGCCTGGGACAGGCTGCTGCTGCTCCTCCTCTCCTGTCTTTAATTACCCAAGTACGAAGGTGTCTCTAATATTAATAATGCATTGTCAGAAAGAGATAATGTGAGAGTATTTCTAGCTCCAGAAAGCTTTAAGAGTGGCATAAAGTTATATTTGTCAGCACCAGATTATTTATACTTCCTGATAGAAGGAGAGGCATGTTAACGGCATAGAGACACATGGCAGATTTATTACCTCTAGGCGGCGGCTGCTTGTTGGCCTTCCGTTGCTCACAGCTGATGGTGGGAGAGTTGTGATGGCGGACTGTGCCAAATGTTTGAAGGTCCAGCACAGATTTCTGATCTCCTGCACAGATGGAGGAGTCCTCGTGGGGCGAATTTTCCAATCTCCTCTCATGGGAACCCCTACAGCTTTGGCAGTGGCTTGGAGTAGAAATGAGAACTCCTTTCCCCTTTGCATCGTTGGTCTTGGGATTCCTCTGACGCAATCCACCAAGCGCTAAAGGGTTCTTTGGGGGCTGGAGGGCTGGGAAGTCGGCCAAGAGGTCATAAGCCTCGTTCTGCACTGGGACTGCTGGTGGTGCTTTGGTTTTTGAATTTGCCTCAGGTGCTTCTGGTTTGCCTTGGATGGGAGCCTGCACAGGGTCATTCACGCCACTTGCCAACGTGACAGTGGGTATGTCATGTGGGTGGAATGAAAGGGGAATCTCCCACTGGCCTTTTATCTTCCCCAAGGCTGGCGGCCCTGTGAGAGATAGCGGAATGCCAGCGTTGATGGTGGTGAGAGCAGGAAAGTCTTCATCAGCTGTAAAAAAGGAATCCTGCTCATTGTCGCAGCTCAGCTCAGCAGATGAGCTTGGAATTTCCTTTTTCTTCACTACTTTTGCACTAACCACTGAGTCATTATTTCTGCTGTCGCTGGCACAACTTTGCACCCCAGGTAGACTAACAGCATCACTATCATCACTAGAGTAGCTGTCTGAGTCTCTACTTGCATTCTGCTCTTTCTCGCTTCCACATTCATCCCCGGGTAGTTTAGAAGGGTGTAGAGAACCTTCTCTGTCTGGCAGGTGTGGGGTGTGGCCTTCAAAGCAGACAGGATTTGTCACCATATGTTGAGGTGCAGGTACAGAGCTCTGTGTGCCTGTTCTGCTGGATTGAGAGACCTGCATCTTCTGAAGAGAGTTTTCAACACTCCTTTGTTTATCTTGCACATCCCTCTCCCGACAGGACTGCGAATTCAAAAACAATGGAAAATACTGCTTGCATTAATTAGCGAGTTTTAGCCGAATACGGGTAATGCTATTTTTATTCATGCTGAGAAAAGCAGATGTTGTTAGATTTGATTAAAAAACCCTCACCGACTTTCTTTTTCCGCCCGCCTCTTCCTTAATTTGCCTTGTCTCCACTTCCAGCACAGGGCTCAGCACCCGTGCGGGATTGGATAGGCCGTGATGTCTGCGGCCCGAGAGATAAGGACAAGGAAGGGTGAAGTCAGTGTGGTATTGCTTCTTGTCCTCATCATAGTGCGTGTAATCATCTGTGTCTTCTTGCTGCTTCTCAGCCCTGGACAGGAAGAGAAACACAGACACGTAGGGTGTGTGTGTGTGGCAGGGTTAAACAGATTTTTTTGCATGTAACAGGCTATCACAGGATAATT